GGAGCTCTCTGGGGGGGCTCTAAACCTTCCAGCTGCTGATTTGATCGCAGTTTTGGCAGTTGGGAATGGAACAGAAGCAGAAAGAGTCCCGGGTTCCAGTCCAGCGGGTTCGGGAACAGAAAGCACTTTTCTGGAGACGAGGAAGACCTGAATGTGTTTTCCTAGGAAAGGGCGGCGGCCCGGCCCGCCCTGTGTGCTGACTGGAGATATTGCAGTTTCACATTTAGTGCTCACACACTGGACACGAATGAAGTCACCACGACACGACCCAACACCACTGGACACGTCTGGGCCTGTTCGCCCGTCCCTGCTGGGGGGGGCGGCCTCCCAGCTGCTGGGGGACTCTGAGGCCTCCAGTGGGCCCGGGAGGAGCTCCTTGTGAGGGAACCTGGACTGGAAGGGGGGGTAGGTCTTTGTTCTTTTGGGAGGGAAGAGGGAGGCCTAGGCGCCCCCCTAGGGTTTGGAGCACCCCTCAGCTTCCAGCAGCCGTCGGCCCCTGCTGGTCTTTAGGCCTCTAGGGGCTGGGGGGGGCTGGTTCGGGCCTGCTGCTTCCCCAAGAGCCTCGGACCTGTCAGACCCTCAGGAGCCTAGGACCTCTCAGACTCCCGAGGAGCATCGGACCTGTCAGACCCTCTTAGGAGGATCAGACCTGTTGGACCCCCCCCAGGAGCCTAGGACCTGTCAAACCCTCCAAGGAGCCCCTCCCCCCTGGGCCCCCCCCAGTCTGAGGGGACGACAGACGAACAGGCTCTTTTGTGGACACAAACTATCACAACACTGCTTCTGGACCAGGTCCCTGGCAGGTGCTGGTCCCCCCAGGAGATCTCAGGGGCCACTGTAACAGGCACACACCGGCGTGATGGAGCTACCCTCCCCCCCCCCGACGGCCCTCACTAATTGGCAAGGCGACCCCCCCCCCTCCCCCTCCCCCCCAGGGTCATGTGACTGGGGCTGTATATCTACCATTGACACAGTCTGACAATACGATGCAAACAAACAACATTTACACAGATTGGCAACTTCAGGGCACCCGGGGGTGCAAGCAGGTCTGTATATATATGTGGGGGTCCGGCGGGGGGGGGGGGGTTACTTCTGAGGGTCCAAACTGCTGAGCAGAGCTGGCACAGAATGCTGGGAGGGTTCTGAGGTTTTGCTGTTGTTGGTGCTGCCCCCCCCCGCTGCAGGGTCCATGGCGGCGCCGGTGGCGGCGGCGGGGGGGCTGTGGGCGGGGCAGGCGGGCTCGGCCGTGCCGTTGGTGGTGGCCGCCTCAGTCCCAGGCCTGGACCCCCCCTCCGCCTGGGGCCCGGCCTCCACGTGGTCCGCCGCCCCCCCCCCCGGCGGGGCAGGGGTCTGCCGACGGCGGCGAGCTCCCGGCGGCGCCGCCCGCCACCGGCGCCGGCTCCTCCTGCGAGCTGCCCAGCGGCGAGCTGCCCGGCTGGGGCGCGGCCCCCCCTTCCTGGGGCGCAGTCCCCCCCGCCTGAGGCGCTGCCCCCCCCACCTGGGGCGTGGCGACCCCCGCCTGGGGCGTGGCGGCCCCCGCCGGCGGGGCCTGGTCCTGCCCCCGGGGCGCCCTGGCCTCCGTCTCGGCCAGCGCCTGGTTGAAGCTGAAGGCTTGGATGAGGCGGATCAGGTGCTTGACCTTGTCCAGAGAGAGCTGCATCTCCTTCTGACGGGCCAGGATGCCGTTTTTGGTCTCCATGCATTTCTAACAACAGAAGAAGAAGAAGAAGAAGAGGTCGTCAGAGCTCACTGCATTCAGTTTCAGCCTCTGAGAAACGACCTGGAAACATCTTAGAGCAGCTGGTCTCAGACAGCCTGGGGTTCTGAGCTTTACCACACTGATTAGGGACCTCAAAGGCAGCACCCACCTCCCACGGGGGGGTCACAGGGTTCCAGGGGGGTCCAGAGGGGGGTTTAAAGGGGGTGACAAAGGGGGTTCCTGAGGTCAAGAGGTTACTTTTGGAAACAAAGCTCAGCTAACAGCTTTTAGCCTCGTTTGCTGAGCCTCGGTGAGGGTTAGGCTCAGCTTCTGGGGGGCTGCGGGGGGGTTAGGGTTAGGGAGAGCTCCTGGGGGGGTAAATTAGGGTGAGTTCCCTGGGTAGGGTTAGTCCGGCGGGAGGGGGGCAAACTGTGCCGTCACCTTCTTTGTAAGCGATGTAGGAATGGACGATAGCCAGGGTTCCGGGCCAGGGGATGGCTTCTTCTTTCTTAAGAATCTGCAGAGAGAAGCTCAGAGGTGTCACACGGGCTGAGACCCGGAGAGCAAAAGGTGGAAAAAGGAAAGCAGAGCCGACAGGAAACAGGCAACGATGGAGTGGATGGATGAGAGATGTCAACCCAAACCGACACAGCGAGTGAAACACAACAGAACACACTGCTTACAAAGGGCTGAACAGGCCTAAGCTGAGCACAGCTGGCAGAAGCATGGCTACACCCCACAGGCCCCCTGGGGCCCCTCCCTCTGGAGGCCAGTCCCTCTGAAGCCCCTCCCCCTGGGGGGGTCCCCTCCCCATCAGGTGCCCCGCCCCCTGGGGGGGCCAGTCCCTCTGAAGCCCCGCCCCCTGGGGCCCACAGGCCACCTGGGAGGCCCCGCCCCCTGGCTGCTGCTGTGGTTACCTGGTCTTGACATTTTGGACAGATCCACATGCCTTTAGGAATGGTTTTCAGGGGTGGATCCAGGCAGTCCAGGTGATAAACACGAGAACACGTGTCGCACATGAGCAACTGGCCACTGCGTCTGCACACAGTGCAGAAATCCTCATGGATGTCTCCCTGTGAGGAAGAATTGGACCCATCAGTTTCCCTCTGCCCAACCGAGCCCCGCCGGCCTGTGAGGGGGGGCGGGGGGGCTGTGATCTGGTCTGGGGCAGCTTGGGTTGAGACGGCTGGTGGACGTGAGTGTTAGGGCTGCTGCTCCTGTTAGTCCTGATGTCAGTAACATTAACATCCACCATTGTTCATCCAGCTTACAGCAGCTTTACCTTTACTGTCTCTATGTTACTGTGGAGGCTCCTTCTCTCTCTCTCACCTTCTCTCTCATCCTATCTCTCTCTCTTTCTCTCTTTTTCTCTCTCTCTCGCCCTCTCTCTCTCACCCTCTATCAATCGCTCACCCTCTCTATCTCTCTCTCACCCTATCTCTCTCTCCCTCGCCCTCTCCATCTCACCCTGTATCTTTCTCATAACCCCAGAGTTCGGTCTGACCTGCTCTGTTTGGATACCTGTGGTTGTGATCTGGCGCCGTATGAATAAAGCTGGATTGAATTGTTAGGGATGCTTGTATAAATAAAGCTGGATTGAATTGTAGGTGAACATCTGGGTTAGTGTGTGACTCATGGAGGACGCTGTTCCCTTTGTAAGGCCGACCGGGATGAGGATGCACAGACAGACTCATGGGGGTGTGTGGAGGTCAGCTACTGGGCCAAAGGGGGTCCCACCCCGTCTCCCCCGTCTTCCCCGTCTCCCCCGTGGTTACTTACATCCCCAGAGCTGGGGCTGGGCAGGGGGGGGGGGGGGGCGGGGCTGGAGGGGGAGGTCGGGGTGAGGCTGCCCAGCTCCGGGACGCTGCTGTATTTGGGTGGGCGACCTGGGTGAAATGAGACAGACGGAAAACAAAGACGGAAAACAAAGAAACCAAAAAAAAAGATGGAGAGGGGGGAGAAACAAACAGACACCTGTATGACAACATACCTTAGAAAGGGAGTCTTCGTTGGCTAGCAGGGGAGAAGGAGGGAGAGGAGGAAGAGGAGGAGTCAAAAGCACAGACAGCAGGTTAGTCAGCAGGCTCATGCTGCCGGGACCAGGACCAGGACCGGGACCAGGACGAGCTGGCCCAACTGGACCTGGACAAGGACCAGGACCAGGAAGAACTGGCCCCCCAGGTCCAGTCAGACCCTGGTCCATCCAGTATGCTTTAGACTAGATCGGAGGCCCCTCAGGGGGCCTCGTGGGCCCGGGGGTCTGGTCCCGGTCTGGGGACCTGGGCCCGGGGACCTGGAGGAGTGTTAAAGTCTATACAGCACAGTTCAGCCTCAACTGGGACGTTTCAGCCGGAAGTTGGTTAACTTTACACACAAGCTTCGGGTGTCAGGTTCTCAGCTCCGGTTTCTGCACAGCGGTGGAGGCTTCAGGTCCTGGACTCCAGCTCCCAGAATGCACCTCTGGAGAGTCTGGTTATGGTTCTCTGTCAGGGGGCTCCCCCATGTTTAGCCTAACTGAGCTTAATCACATTGGAAATTAACTAACCAACCAGAAAAACTAGGCCTAGTCCTGACCCCAACTACTCTGACACATAAACGTGGTTAGAGTATGGGTCAACCCTAAGGTTTAGGTTAGCCCTAACCCACTCTGACACAGGACCATAAACCCAGTTAGCTTTAGGGTTTAGGTTAACCCTAGAGTTATGGCATGCTCCTCGGGTTTGGGTTAACTCTAGCCCTAACCCACTCTGACACAATATCATAAACCCTCATTAGCCCGAGGGTTAGGTCTGTCCTTGGGTTTAACCCTAGTCCTAACCTACCCAGAACCATAAACCCCGGCTTTAAACTTGACACCCGGCTGAAACCACAGAAGCAGGAAGCAAAGGAGGAAAGAAAGACCTTCACAGCATGTTACTGGTGCCGAGCCACAGATTAGTTTCTACTCTGTTGTGACCCCACAGGCCGGCGCCGGGCCAGAACCGGGCCGGCGCCGGGCCAGTACCTGGCCAGGTCAGGGTTCATACAGACCTCTCTTCCTGGTCCCCTGGTGGAGAGGGCTGTTCAGGTAACTCACTGCGCTCTTTTTCCTCTGGAAGAGAGGCGATAGAGGCTTGTTAGAGGGAGCGGATGCAGCTGGACCGGCTCCTGCATTCAAACCAGAACCAGAACCAGAACCCTGCTGCGAATGGACCCACCTCGGGCTCGAACACGGCTCCGCTGTACACCGGGTTGGCCGTCGTCCTTCTCTTCCTCTCCTGCCGTTTGCTCTGTATCTCTGCGGGGAAGAACGAGGTTCAGGACCAGGACCAGAACCAGGACCAGGACCAGAACCAGCTGCAGCCTGAGCTGAACTCACCTTCCAGGTGGTCGTGTGTTACGAGGCCTAACGACACCATGAAGGCCAGTTTCTGAGGGGGAAACGAAAGGTTTGACCTGGGTCGGGGTCAGGGCCGGCAGGACTTGGTTCTGGGGGGGTCTTACCTCGGGGTTCTCCTCCTTCTTGGGTCTGGGTGGCGGGGACAGAGGGGGGGTGGAGGAGGAGGGGATGGCCTTCTGCTCCGCTCCTCCTGGTTTAACAGTCGGCTGAAAGCAGGAAGAAGGAGGGGGGGTCAGTCTGAGAACGGGCTAAGACCAGGACCAGGACCCAGTCCCTGACCAAGACCCAAACCATAAACCCAAACCCTGACCCATCTGAGGAAGATCCCCCTTGAGGGGAACCCAGCTGAGGAGGCTCTCTGGTCTTACCTTGGCCAAATCTTGACCCATACCCTGATCCATACCCAGAACCAACCCCTGACCCAAACCCTAATCCCAAACCCAAACTCCGACCCACCTGAGGAGGCTCCCTTTTGGGGAAAACCTGCCCAGGTTCTGGTCTTACCTTGGGTTCTGTGGTCAGGCTGCTGATCTGGATGGGGGGGGCCGGCAGCGGGGCCGGCGGCGGGTTGCTGGGTGCCTGGGCGGGGCTGGCGAGGCGGGGGGGCACGGGCGAGACGGGCGTGGTGATGACGATGCCGGTCAGGGGGGTGCCGGCCTTGCAGGGCTGGCCGTTGACGATGCGCACCTGGTGGATGGGCGCCGCCGAGGGCAGAGAGGTGGCCAGCTTGGTGGCCAGCATGACGGGCCTCTGCAGCAGCTGGGGGGCCGCCATCATGGGCGGGGGGGGCGCCGGGGCGATGGGGATGTTGGTGGGCGGGGCCATCTTAGGTCTGACCTGCTGGTGACAGAAAGCCAATCAGAGAGCAGCACTTAGACCACCAGAGACGGCGGAGCAACACCCCCCCAGCGCTCTGCCTCAGGCCGACCCCCCAGAGTCTGAACCCCCCCCTTCCCCTCTCAGAGTCTGAGCTGCAAACCAAACCAGCATTAAAACTCTTCAAATTAACCTAACTGTTCCAAATGTAATAGTTTTTTAAAGATTTAAAACATTTAGATTGAAAGATTTAATGCAAAAAGGCTGATAAAATACCATCTGAGCCATTATTATTATGATCAAATATATAATTATTATTATTTTATTTTTTTTATTTTTTATTATTATGTATGAAGACATAATAAAAAATAATATTAATAATGAAATAAAACTATTCATATTAATAAGAATAATATGATACACATAAGAAAACAGTAACCTGTCTAAATGTGGATCTGTCAGCTCTCTAGGCTTGCCTGAAGGGGGGGGGGGGGGGCGTTTTCCTGGGGGTTAAAGTCTGGCTGTCCTGAGGGGGGGGCGGATGCCCCCTGCTAGGTGCTGCTATCTGGAGCTGTCTACTGCTCCTCAGCCTGTTTAGGGGAAGCTCCTGAGGCAGGTTGGAGCTTCAGCTGGGGTGTCACTCAGCCCTCCCCCCCACCCACCCACCCACACCAACAGCCAGGAACAGAAAAAGCCGCAGGACAACCACAAAAAGGTGCACACACACACACACTCACATACTCACACACAAACACACAGGCAGGAGACCTCCAGAACCGCCTGCTCTGGGTCAAAGCACAACAGGAAGAGCAGATATGGGGAGAGGCAGCACAGGCCAAACATGTTTTAGTGCCATGGAGCAAGGCAGGAGTGTTGCTGCGGTGCGCTGCTGCCCTCTGCTGGAGGGTGAGCACCACCTCAGGTGGGGGCCACACACACTGGTCTGAGGGGTTAGGGTTTGGAGGCGGGGCTTACAGAGACGCACCTGTGGCTGAAAGGAGGGCCGAGGCGTCAGTCTAGGAGGAGGGACAAACTGAGGAACTTTGATTGGCTGGGCGGAGGTGGTGGTGGCCTGCACCTGAGACAAAACCACAGCAGATTGTGGATCTGTGGACCCCTGTCACACCCGGCCGGCCACCCGCCCGCCGCACACCACTCATGCAGGTACACAGCAGCACAGCGGCGCCGGCGCCTCCCGTGTTTGTTAAAGGTCAGAACAGAGCAGAAAACAGCCCAACTCCTGATCCACAGAGTCCAGTTTAAGCACAGAGTCCAGTCCAGCTCTGTTCCAGCCGAATGCTGCCGCTATAATCCACTCATCTCTCCATCTCTCAGACTGAGTAAAACTTTATCAGCTACGCTTAATTAGCCATTTTAGCGACTAGCCTTAATCTGTTCACACTAACAAGGGTAGAAATGATCGTGATTGTATGATATAGCGGGGTTAAGGTTACTGTATGTTACTACGTGATAATGTTAAAGAAACTATAGCAATACTATTCCATAACTCCCCAGAATTGTAGTTTCAGCTCCTCTTTCCCTAAGGGATCAATAAAGCTTCTATCCATCTATTTATTTATCCATCCATCCATCCATCTGGCGAACAGTCACATTAGCATTAGCATGGCGCTAGTTCTCCACCAGAGACACCCGACCCAGCCAACCGACAACCCCGTCCATCCTGCCCAGTTTTCCAGCCAATCGCAGGCTCAGAGGAAGCCGCCCTGATTGGCTGGGAGGGGGCGGCGTCCCCAAAGAGACGCCGGCCCGGATTTCTGTGGAGCCAGAACTGCTGTGAGAACCCGACATCGTCCAGGTTCGATTCTGACTTTTAACAAACACGCTGACACAGGAAAGACAAGCCGGCTCTGATTGGACCTCCGACTGGCGCCCTGCGAGCAGCGCCCAGGTCCCCGTCCCCAGATCGGCTCGGCCCGGCCCGGCCCTGCTGGGGGCACCGCCCCCCCCCCCCAATAACGGCCACGACAGGACCGGCTCGGCGGCGTGGACTCACCACCATGGCGTTCTTGGACACCACCCGCAGAGGCTCCGGGCCCTGATTGGACGGCTTGCTGGCCACCTGCAGGTTGATGGGGGCGTTCTGTGCGTCGGGCTTGGCGATGGCGGCGGTCACCATGGCGACAGTGGGCGGGCGCTGCGGCAGGACGGCACCGGGCAGGGTGGGCGTGGCGGCCTTCAGAACCAGAGGTAGCGTCTTGGTGGTGATGACCGGCGTGACCGTCAGCGTCTGGGGGGGAGAGGACGTTAGGGGAGGGGGGAAGCAAAACATTCTGGGTAGCCACTTCCAACCTCATCTGGGCGGAAAACACTTCAAATTCAGAGTGAAACCAGCAGAAAACGGCCATTTATTCTGTTTTTAAAGGCCTGTTGGCCTTTTCTCCTCATTAGAAAACTGAAATCTAATAAATCTTTTATAAAACGTGTCATCTCTAATCTCTGATGGTATTTTCATGCATTCTATTTTATTCTGAGATGTTTTACAACACTCGTTTATTCTGTTTTTAAAGACCTTTCAGCGTTTCTTCCTCATTGGGATGCTACGGAAATAAATCCTTTATAAAACGTTTGATGAGCATTTTGTATTTGTGCAGCTCTTCCAGCTTTTCAAGAAGAACCTTCCTCAAAGGGACCAGAGCTGGCTGGTTCCTCTGATCGTGGACCAGCAGAGTCCCCGTGAGGAGCAGCTTGAGGCTCAGACTGGACCCGCTTCCTCCCTGAACCGGGCAGAGTGTCTGTGGCTGGTGCAGAGCTCCCACCTGCTGCAGTCCTCCAGGTAGGTGCTGGCTCTGCAGCAGGCCCACCGGCTTCACGTCGCCCCCTGCTGGAGCGGCCTGGACCTGCAGCTTGTTGTCGGGCTCCTGCTTCACCAGCAGCTCCTTCCTCAGCTGCTCCACCACCTTTTTCTGGGGGCACAAAGGGCAGCGTTAGCTGGCCGTTGGGGGCCGACCCGCCTCCTCCGGCCGGCTCCGGCTGGAGGGTCACAACCTGCTGAGCTCTCCGACCTTCTGAGCAGAACCCAGAAGGAAGCTCCCAGACGGGGGGGAACTTCTCCTTATGTTTTATGTGGGAATGTGTCATCTGAACCATTTTTATTCTCACTAACGTGAACAGAAAATTTCATTCATATCCAAGAACGGTTTTATCCATGTAAACAGGCTCATTTTCCCCCCAGAACCAGAACCTTTCTCACTGAAATGTGGAAAACTGAATCCAGAAAACTCAGAAACCAGTTTTTTTAAAGTAGGAGAAGCTTTTTTAATCATTATTTTAAAGCTGGAGGGACAAACTGAGAGGAGAACCGAACGGGTCGATCATCTCCTCCTGCCGTTCGGGTCTTAAAGCCTGATCAGTGATCAATAATCGGCGCTGCCCTGTGATTGGCTGCCAGAAGCAGCCAGAACAGAGAGGCTGAAGGTCAGAGCCCATCTGTTGCCTAGCAACGGACCACTCTCAGACGACCTGAAGCGGCGCCGAGGAGACTGAACGAGCGGTGCCCGGCTCCCAGCTCCCTCCGGATTGGTCGGAGCCTGTGACATCATGCTGTCACATGGCTCCAGTCACATGACCTCCTTACTGTTCATCTGGTTTCTACAAAACGCTCCTAAATCTCAGATGGACGCGATCTGAGCCCAGAGAGGGCTTCTGGTTCTGGTTCTGGTTCAGTTCTGGTTCTGGTTCATTTACTAGCTCCCGCCAGATTGGTCGGAACCTGTGACATCATGCCGTCACATGGCTGAGGTCACATGACCTCATTGCTCATCTGAACCAGCTGAAAATGGAGCTTCACCTGCTTCTCGCTGAGCGCTGTGATCTTTGCCTGGAGCTCGTGGAGCTGCTTCTTCAGATCTGCATTCTAAAGACAGACAAAGATTAAAAACAGACTTCATCCAGATCCTGGTGCATCCTGTTCAAACTCCTGCCGGCTTTACCTGAGGGTCCTGCTTCATCTGGGCCACCAGTTTCTGCAGAACAAAGCACAGTCAGGGCTCAGAGCAACACCTGAGAAGCTTCACTGAGCAGCACAGACTCAACATTTGGGGGGCTTTTTGAACTTTTAGCTGTATAAGCATTAGAAAAAGACCTGAGAGGACAATAAAAAGACTTAAAACACATCAAAGTGCCCCTTTGATCTAAATGTATGAGCTCATTTTACACTAAAATAATGAAAACTTGTTCGCTTTTCCACAAAAATCTGAAATAATCTGCATAAATTTATTTGGGAATCAGATAAATGACAAACAAAACTCAAAATAAATCAGAATATCTTAAATTTAAACTGTGAGTTTCTGCTTTCTGCCTCCAGAACCAGCTCTGGTTACCACTACATGAGCTCTGTTCCAGCAGATGTTACGGACAGAAGTGGAAACGTGTGTTCACAGAGAGCAGAGCCCACCTGATGGATCTGGATCTCCACCTTCAGAGCCTCCTGTAGCGTCTGTAGCTCCATCATGGATCCAGTCAGTCTGCCAGCCGATCGATCAGCCTGCACACACACAGAGGTGAGCAGCCCGACCAGAACCAGAACCAGGACCAGCAGCTCTCTGGGCTCCAGCTCACCTTAACACCGTCTCCAGTAGGAAAACCATCCAACTGAAGCATTAAAGTGCCGCTGGAAACGAGCAGAACACCAGTTACTGCAGCCAAAAAGACGTCGGCTCCCGCTTCAACCTCAAACTGCACTCGTTTCACTTGGTTTTCATCGGTTTTACTGCAGCGGCTGCAAATCTGACTCCTGTTTCCATCAGACAGCCGGCGGAAAAACTGCCTGGGATGGAAAGACTGGTGAGGAAAGTAAGGCCAACAGAAAGAAAAAGCTCATTAGAGTTAAAAAAAATCAAGAGATGGGGAAGAATGCAGAAGGAACTAATTCAAGAAAGAAATTAAACAAATTCTGACTGATAAAGAAATATAGTTAAAACTGAGCAGGAAAATAAAAAGAATAATTCAACTGAGCAGGAAAAATTTAAAAATAATTCAGACTTAGCTAAAGAAAAATTTAAATCATTCAAATCTAATCTATAAAAGGTAAAAAACAATTTAAAAAAGTTCTAAATTTAAAATACGTATACAAATTTTAAAAATCATTCAAAACAGCTATAAAATTTATTTTTTAATTCATTCAAAACTGAGCTATAAAATTTACAGTCATGGCCAAAAGTATTGAGAATGACACAAATATTATATTTTCACATGATCTGCTTCCCTCTGGTTTTCATGTGTGTATGTCGGATGTTGTCATCACATACAGAAATATAATCAATGCTTGAATTTTGTCAGAATTCCTAGGTTTTTGTTTTTCCACCCGTCTCTTGATGATTGACCACAAGTTTTCAATGGGATTAAGATATGGGAAGTTTCCAGGCGATGGACCCAAAATCTTTATGTTTTGTTCCCTGAGCCAGTTAGATATCACCTTTGCTTTATGGCAAGGTGCTCCATCATGCTGGAAAAGGCATTGTTCATCACCAAACTGCTCTTGGACGGTTGGGAGAAGTTGCTCTCGGAGAACATTCTGGTACCATTCTTTATTCATGGCTGTGTTTTTAGGTAAAACTGTGAGAGAGCAGACTCCCTTGGCTGAGAGGCAACCCCTCACATGAATGGTTTCAGGATGCTTTACAGTTGGCATGAGACAAGACAGGTGGTAGCGCTCACCTCGTCTTCTCCGAACAAGCCGTTTTCCAGATGTCCCAAACAATGGGAAAGGGGATTCATCGGAGAAAATGACTTTACCCCAGTCCTCAGCAGTCCACCCCCTGTACCTTTTGCAGAATATCAGTCTGTCCCTGATGTTTTTACTGGAGAGAAGTGGCTTCTTTGCTGCCCTCCTTGAGACCAGGCCTTGCTGCAAGAGTCTCGGCCTCACAGTGCGTGCAGATGCACTCACACCTGCCTGCTGCCATTCCTTAGCTAGCTCTGCACTGCTGGTAGCCCCATCCCGCAGCTGAAACACTTTTAAGGGACGGTCCTGGCTCTTGCTGGTCTTTCTTGGGCGCCCTGGAGCCATTTTGGCAACAATGACATTGAAATGTGTTTTGGGGGATAAAGTTAATTTTCTAGGCAAATATTGGCTTTGCAATTAATTGCTGTTATGCTGAACACTCTTTTTAACATTCTGGAGTATATGCAAATTGCCGTTAGAAAAACTGAAGCAGTAGACTTTGTAAATATTACCATTTGGATCATTCTCAAAACTTTTGGCCATGACTGTATTTTTTAAAATCACTCAAACCTGAGCTATAAAATAAAAAACATAATTCAAAAGTGAGCAGGGTGTTTCTCTTTTTTAAAATAAATTAAAACTGAGATGGAAAATAAAAATAAAAAAATTAGCTAGACAATAAAAGAGTCATTTAAAACTGAGACGAAAAATATTAATAATTAAAACATGAGCTGAAAAAATAAAAACAATTAATAAATGAGCTAGAAAATAAAAAAAACTATTCAAAACTAAGCTCATTAAATACTGAGCAAGAATTTTATTCTTTTTAAAAATAATTCAAATCTGAGCTGTAATCCTTTTTTTTATTTAAATCAGGCTAAAACTAATGTAGTTTGAAGTCAGAGCAAAGTAAAGACCATTTACTGATAAATCCGTTGTGAACGTTTTAAAAAGCAGTTTCAGTGGAATTTGAGGCACCATTTAGCCCTAAATTATTTCATCTCACAGTTTAGCAGCTGGTTTCATCCTTTAACTTACAAAAACATCATTTTATGTGGATTTTTACACACCAAAACCCCCATAAATTATAAAAGTGGTTAAAAACCTTTCATTTAAACCAATACTGAGGCAATAATGAGCCACGGAGGAGCTCCAAGTTTCAGGTAAATGAATGAGATGGGAGTGGACTCACCACCTGGCTGTGGAACTGGACTCCACCCCTCTGTGCTGCCCTGTGCAACAGAACAAACGCACCATCAGCTCCGGCTTTCACACCTTTGACCTCTGAAGCCTCTAAACTGAAAACTCGCAGGTCCATTTTGAGGCGCATCCTGATAAATGTTCAGCTCACAAAATACATCAGGATATCTCTAATTTTTTTAACTTTGACTTTCTGCCTCCAGAACTGAGCTCTGATTTCCACTAAATGAGCTTTGTTCCGGCAGATATTACAGACAGAAGTGGAAAGGTGTTCAGGAGCTGAAAACAGCTTCTCTGAGCAGCAGAAACTCAACTTTTGGGGTAGTTTTTATGTTTTTTGTTCAGTCATTTCTATTTTATTGGACTCATTTATCTTCGTTTGCTATGTATTACCAGCTATAGATGTTATTAATTTACCATCTATAGCTGTGTTTGTGTTCCTCCTGTTTAATGGAACTACTTTAATTTATCCTGATGCTTTTACTTTTAAAGCAGCTTTAATTATGTTGGAAGTGAAGAACAGCAGAATAAATGAGGCCTTCCAAGTTTGTGTCTATGCAAATTGCAAAAATTGAAATAAGTAGGAAACTTTAAATCAGAGACTGAATGAACTTTTACCAAAGATAAAAGTAAAGCTTGGATTCAAACCAAATGACTTCACAAGAGGGGAAAAAAGACATTCTACTAATGTTTCACAGTTAAATGGCTTAAGCTACAATCTGTGGAGTGAAAAGGTCTGGGAAACCTATCACATGGAACAAAGAACTCATTTTCAGAGGTTTCAAAATAACAGATTCGTTAACAAATGGAAACCTGAAATTTAATAGTCAGATTTTTTCAGTATATGTATTTATTTATGTATATAAATGTATATTTAAGTATCATATATTTTTTCTAAATATATTTTGTATTTCTTATTTTTACTTATTTTTTAAGTATGTTTTATTTCATTTGACCATTTAACTTCATTTGCATTGTTATTAATTTACCATCTATAGCTGTGTTTGTGTGTTCCTCCTGCTTAATGGAACTACTTTACTTTATCCTGATGCTTTTACTTTTAAAGCAGCTTTAAGTATGTTGAAAGTGAAGAGCAGCAGAACAAATGAGGACTTGTATGTTTGTGTCTATGCAAATTGCAAAAATTTTAAAAAATTGAAGTAGGAAACTTTAATTCAGAGGCTGAATGGAAGTTTCCTTTAATGCAGGCTTCATAATAACAGATTTGTTAACAGATGAAAACCTGACATGTAAGAGGATTATTATTTTTATCTATTTTAATTTTTATTAATATAAATATTTAAATTTTTTTATATATATATATATATAGAAAAATCCAAATGAGATTATATATAATATATATATTTTATTAATATTTCCTGTCTTATTTGTATTCATTTACTTTTTTTTTTCTTTACTAATTTATCTTCATTTGCATTGTTAATAATTAACGATCTATATTTGAGCTTTTTTAAAGTTTCCTTTAATTGGGAGGCAGAATTAAAGTTTCCTTTAATCTGGAGGCTGAGTTAAAGTTCCCTCTGAGGCCCGGCCGGCCTGCAGCGCCCCCTGCTGCCCGGACCCAACAAAGGCCTCAACACCACAAACCCCCAAAAGCTGCAGCCTGAGCTGAAAGTGGCTCCGGCTGGCGGCTCTGACAGCTCAGGAGTCTGAATCTCCCTCACAGGCAGGGTCACGACGGCCACAGAAGAAAAAAAAAGAGCCAGAAAAACTACAAATCCCAGCCACAGTAACACAGACTTCAACCGATTCGGGAAGCAGAAGATGGAAATATTCACACAGTTCAGGCCTGAAACAGATCCAGATTGTCATGAAGCCGCCTGAAAGCTGTGAGAAGAGTGTCCTGCACACTTTGCTTTCCCTTCACATTAATATTAATAACTCTGCTGTGACTACAGCAAACCTGTAGGAGCAACTCAGAGGGAAGAAAGCAACTCCCCCTGTCAGACCTGGACCAAGTAACCAGGGGATGGAAATCAAATACATTAAATAAATGTAACCTTTAAAAGGAGAAAAAAGTTCTTTTTCACACCAGATTATAGCTTTACAGTGGTCCTGTGTCATGGAAACATTTATTTAGCCCTTCAGAGAAAGTTGAGCGGTGGGGGAAAAAAGCATTTTTTTCCTGTGAAAGCTTAAATCATGAGAAGCAGAAGTCCTCCAGTCAGTGAAAGCAGCTGGTGTTGCCTTCAAGAGCAGGTCTGCTCTGAAAGGTGCACAAAAAGCCACTTTCTGCCTACTTTACTGATCACTTTCAGCTGTTGTGAGGCTGCCCTGAAGCCCACAGGGGACCCAGTCTCTGTCTGTGGGAGTTAAGGGTCACAGAATAAATACAGCTGCCTTAAAAAGTCCAGTCTGAGGAGAGAAGAGCTTTCAAAAGATGGGTTTTGAGGAGAAATGTCAGCTTTCATCAGCCAAAAGAGTCTGAAACACTCACCCAAACAATCTGAACCTACTCCGACTCTCTGGCTTAAGTTTGAAACAAATTAAATAACCTAAAGAGCTATATCGGCCTCAGACATACGGAAGGAATAACTGGGTTTTCTTCATCATAACAATCACAACATACCGTTATAAAGCTGTTTTTTAACAACTAAATGCTAATTTCTCATCCAGGAGGAGGCAAATCAAAGATTAAGAGCAGTAAAAGCTGCTTTTTTTTTATTCATTTAAAGATGCTAAAAGTGTAATAGTAGGTCCTGACAGGTGAACATAAGTTTGATATTCACCACTAACAGCAGCTGCTGCAACAGGAACAGTTTTAACACTAAACGGAGCCTGGAACTATTTGGATTATTCATGAAGTAGTAAAACACAGTCAGAGGTGTGGTGGAGGAATCAGTTCATCATAACAAGCACAAGACACCGTTATAAAGCCGTTTA